GGACGAAGTATTTGTCATCTGATATATCACCAGTAAACGACGTCACATAGAGGGATGAAATGAACAAGATGAATGTGCTATTACTGTTTTGTAGGCGATGAAAAAGGGAAGGTGTGATTTACAATATGGGTTTGGCTTATTATTAATTAATTTAACTAATTCATGTTTTAATGGTGAAGCTTTTCTGAATACTTTTTTCCATCACATGACGGACATTTTTCTTTATCAGATAAACGATTTTTGTGTCAAATTTGCGTCGATATTGGATGAGAATGAAAATAGACCGTACCAGTAATTGTCAAAAAAATAGAGCAAGTTTAAAATATCTTCTAAATATCTAGAAAGGACTTAAATGCGACTTAATGCTATTCATTGGTGAAAATCCGATCTAGTTATGAGTTTGTAGTGCCGAGAAAAGCGAAGTGTAGAAAACAGTTTCTAATCGTAGGAATAATTTTTTGTCTGACTAAAAAGAATGTGACATGCTCTGTGGGCAAGTCAAATTTCGAACTTAAAAACTAAATTTTGTGGAAACTTTTTAAAATTCCCAAAATTTCTCTTTAAATATGAAACTTTTCCACTTAGGTGTAATAACCTACAGGATACCCCTCCCCCTTATCAATCCCTATGTCAAAATTTCTTCTATTAACTTGTGTCAAACGATAAAAGTACCATTCTTTATTGCACAGAAATCATACGAACTATTTTGACTAAGACAGAAGAAGCTTTACAATAATAAACGCTAAAATTAAAGTAATATTAGCTTGAATAAAGACAGAATTATTATTCGGCTTTGTAGTATCGCCTCTTGATGAAGTAGAAGGAGTTGCTATTGTGGTTGTCTCGGGGATAGCTTGTACAACTAAATTATCCATCGGCAAACGATATTCCTGTTCTATTACTGTTGCGACGTCTTCTATTACTGATGGCCTATTACAGCGATATTGATTACAGTCGGATACATAAAATTGTGTATAGTTCCTATTATACGCAATTGAACGAAGCCAAACGCCGACATGTCCCGGATTTGCATCGAGAATCGAAATCCCAGTTCTATTTTGCTTACAAACACTCTGATAGATCGGATAAGTCCAGCCAACATAGATTGCTGAACAATATTGTTCACATATTGTATTATTGTAACATCGAGCTGTTGAATTTACATTTCGATCATCATACAAATAATTTATCAGTTCCTCTCGTAGTGGTCGATAATCAATATTTATCAATTGTGAAATCGAATAATTAGCATAGGCAACATGACAATTGTATTCTGTTTCACAATCATATGTTAACAATGTTTGACTTCTATTTCGATTGAACCATATAAGTGTATCCACTTGAAGTCTTGTACGATTATTACCATTTGAAAACACCTTAACATCAATTTGTCTCGTTGAATAATCTAACAATAAAGTTACAGAACAGCCACTCGATGATTCGGATGTTGTCGTACAATTCACTGGTAATGTGAATCGAGTGTCAAATGATTGTGTGAAAGTACATTCTTGACTGCAATTGATCGTTTGTTTACAAAGAACGGATGTTTGGCGAATAATCGAAATATAGATTACGGTAAAAAGCAATGGGAACATTGTCCTGTGTGATTTAGAGAGCTAGAACAGAATTTTTTTTTAATTGTATAACGATATGCCCAAGCAAAGACCACCTAATTTTTGGATTATTTATCTAGATTTAGCCCCCGTGCATCCAGATGTACCTGGAGTTGGATCTTGATAAATAATTCAAAAAATTGGGTCGTTTCTGCTTGGGTGAGAGTTCAAAAAAATCTATATTCTGGACAGAAAGCAAGGGATTTATATGTGGCTAAAAATAAGGAAAAGCTTACATAAGTGTACTGTGTCCATTTCAAAAGAAATGTTTAGTCAGTCATGTTTCTATATTCTGCATAGATGACACTCTTTTAAAACTTATTTCTGCTAATTTTTTCAAAAAGATGCGTCATGACGTTTTCCAACGCGTAGTTTTCACAGTATAAAGTGTAAATGCAATAGGTCGAAACGTTGACCTTCCTTTCCAGCTGTAAATTTAGAGCACTGATTACTGTCTTTTGAGAAAAAAGATGTACTGCAATGCATCCCGACTCTCTAGAACATAGTAACTTGCATTCTTTTATAAATACATTCAGTGTGCTTTCGGAAAGCGCGCTCCGTTTTGCTGTCGGACTTCAAAGTCTTTTTCAAAAACACGAAACATTTAATAAGTGGTTTTTCGATTACAAAATTTTACTTTGAGGAAACTGAAAAATATTACATTTTGTCCGATTTTCGCTTCTCTATCAAATGAAATATTACTGTTAAAGTTTAGATTAAAGATGTCATTACAATACAAAATGTAGCCTTCACTCTTAAAATAATAGAAATCGATCTCTGGTCCGAACAACTGCAAAGCGGGCTTTTTTTGGATACATTCTAGCACTATAAATTCTCATCCTTGCAGATTAGCACTTACTTTCAATTTTCTGTTGAACCCAGTCTTTTGAAAATTAAGAAAATAATCATTTAAAAAGGAATAAAAAATGAGATTCTTCTAGTACGTAAGGGCCGAAGGGGTGCACCATACGAGCATATGTTCAAAGTTTTTGTGAAAATGTAGAGAACACTAGACAAAAAAACATGCTAAAATTTTCAAATACTGATTTTACACGTCAAAATAAAACCTAAAGGAAAGACACTAGAACGTCCGGATATTTTCATGGCCTAGAACGCCCAAAGCGATCATTTTGACCGTTACTGTTTTTTTTTAAATTTTATACTTAAAAATGGTTCTGAATTAAAAAATGCATTAAAAATTCTGCAAAAAATAATTTTTATGGGACAAATTAAAAGTTATGACATAATTTATTTTTAAATAAATTGTATGCAGTTTGTTTTATTAAGGATAAAAATCACAAAACGGTCAAAATGCGGGCGTTCTAGTATTAAACTAAGGAGTATACCTTACCTGTTTATACAGAATGTTTTAAAGCTTAGCAATTTTTTGTTGGGTATAATTCTCCTTATTATATATATATTGTAAATCACACCTTCCCTTTTTCATCGCCTACAAAACAGTAATAGCACATTCATCTTGTTCATTTCATCCCTCTATGTGACGTCGTTTACTGGTGATATATCAGATGACAAATACTTCGTCC